TACGTGTGGTAGAATGCGGTAACCACACTTTTGGTCTCACCACAGCCAAATGTGGTAACTTCACCACACATTCGATTTCAGTGCAAAAAGAGAAAAAAGCCTGCACCAAATTTTCCTACAATTTTTCATTGCATTTTTTTATGCTCATAAATGAAACATTGGAATATATTTCATTGCAACACAGAGACTGAGGGTGTTGCAGTCTGACTGACAGTGGGTCCGATTCTGTCGTCAATTTCGTTCTCGTGATTGGACGATCAAAATATTACCTGGACGCTCGCGGCCAACCGCTCGATGGTCCTATCAACGGCGTCGTCCAGAGTCTTGCGCGGGTAGGGTCCCGTGCCTCGGACAATGCAGGACACCTTCGAGTACTCGTCGTCGGAATGCAGGTCGTCGGTGCCATCCTGAGCAGCCTGCTCCTCCACCATGCAGAGTTGCTGCAGCCGTTGTATCCGCAGCAGCTCAGTGTTCAAATCCAGAACCTGTAACGAAGCGAGAACAGTCGTGCACACTAAATGTTTCCGTGCATTTTGATGCGTGGTGATGCATGACCTTAAACCTGTTAAAAGTTTTGCTTGTGCCAAACTTGTGCTCAAATTTGCGTAAAATTGTGCATTTGTGCGCATAATATAATGCAAATCGACCCGTCCTGATAGGATAATCCTCACTGCCAGGGTAGATCCAAGACAATCCTAACTGTCAGAACAGATCCAAGACAATCCTAACTTTTCGTGCCGATGCAGAACTATCCTCACTGCATACATCACGTGAAAAAGCGGTGTTTTCTCAAAGTCCGTGACGCCAACACACTTCATAAAATTACTAGCTGAAGGGCTTGTTACAAAAATTCATCCTTATATGTAAACTCGCGCTGCTCGCTGGGGGCTCCGCCCCCAGACCCCCGCATGTGTGGAGCGCGTGCCGGAGTATTTAGTAAGTCCGTGGTGACCAAAGGCAAATTTTCTAAGGAAGTAAATGTCCTGCTTCTTTGAAAGCTCTATTTAACCGCTTTTGACCATATAATAAGGCTACTTTTACTGCCCAAATACATAGCTTGTATTGTATTGGCTACTGTGGCAGTCAATGGGTGCATACAAGGTCCGGAAAATATTGAAGACTGCTTTGACAAGGATAGAGGTGAAAGGAAAAAAACCTTAGGTCTCTACGACCACTCCTTGACCCCAAACATTTCTATGAGTGAGTGAGTGAGTCAGTGAGTCAGTCAGTCGGATTGGGGCTATATAGGTTCTTGATAAGTGAGGGAGTCAGTCAGTCGGATTTTGCGGCTATGTAGGTTCTTGATGATAATTGATGATTGATTTTGAGTATGTTGCCGGTGACGGCGACCCGATTGCGGCACAGTTTCGGAAATGTCTCGACCAGACCTACCGATGGGGCGAATAAAAAATTTTAGTCGGTCGGTCTCCTTTTTTGAAGATTGAGTGGATTTTGTTGAATTTAGGCCTATTTAATCGTTTTTGAAGATGTTGCCGGTGACGGGGACCCGATTGCGGCACAGTTTCTGAAATGTCTCGACCAGACCTACCGATGGGGCGAATAAAAATTTTTAGTCGGTTGGTCCCCTTTTTTGAAGATTGAGTGGATTTTGTTGAATTTAGGCCTATTTAATCGTTTTGGAGGATGTTGCCGGTGACGGGGACCCGATTGCGGCACAGTTTCGGAAATGTCTCGACCAGACCTACCGATGGGGCGAATAAAAATTTTTAGTCGGTCGGTCCCCTTTTTTGAAGATTGAGTGGATTTTGTTGAATTTAGGCCTATTTAATCGTTTTTGAGGATGTTGCCGGTGACGGGGACCCGATTGCGGCACAGTTTCGGAAATGTTTCGACCAGACCTACCGATGGGGCGAATAAAAAATTTCAGTCGGTCGGTCCCCTTTTTTGAAGATTGGGTGGATTTTGTTGAATTTAGGCCTATTTAATCGTTTTTGAGGATGTTGCCGGTGACGGAGAATTGCGGCACAGTTTCGGAAATGTCTCGACCAGACCTACCGATGGGGCGAATAATAATTTTTAGTCGGTTGGTCCCCTTTTTTGAAGATTGAGTGGATTTTGTTGAATTTAGGCCTATTTAATCGTTTTTGAGGATGTTGCCGGTGACGGGGACCCGATTGCGGCACAGTTTCGGAAATGTCTCGACCAGACCTACCGATGGGGCAAATAAAAATATTTAGTCGGTCGGTCCCCTTTTTTGAAGATTGAGTGGATTTTGTTGAATTTAGGCCTATTTAATCGTTTTTGAGGATGTTGCCGGTGACGGGGACCCGATTGCGGCACAGTTTCGGAAATGTCTCGACCAGACCTACCGATAAGGCGAATAAAAAATTTCAGTCGGTCGGTCCCCTTTTTTGAAGATTGAGTGGGTTTTGTTGAAATTTAGGCCTATTTAATCGTTTTGAGGATGTTGCCGGTGACGGGAACCCGATTGCGGCACAGTTTCGTAAACGTCTCGACCAGACCTACCGATGGGGCGAATAAAAATTTTTAGTCGGTCGGTCCCCTTTTTCGATGATTGAGTGGGTTTGCTCGGAAACTGTGAGGAATTTGGTCCGCTTTTTTGAAGATTAAGTAAGTTTGCTCGGAAACGGTTAGGAATTTTCAACTTTTGGGATTTTTCCCAATTTTCCCATAAAATTTGGAATTGAATGGAAAAAACCGCAAGTCTCTACGACCACTCCTTCACCCCAAACATTTCTATGAGTGAGTGAGTGAGTGAGTGAGTGAGTGAGTCAGTCAGTCGGATTGGGGCTTTATAGGTTCTTGATAAGTGGACATTGTATTTCAGTTGTATCGAGATGCTCTGATTTGCAGTGAAGATACTTCACTGACACTTTTAGGTACCTCTGCAGTTAAAATAGTTCTAAATCTGCACTGACAGTTAGGATTGTCTTGGACCAGCTTCTGGCTGTTAGAATTGTCTTAGATCTGCTCCGAAAGTTAGGATTATTCTTTAAGGACGCGTCGAGATTCCACGCATGCACAAAATCGTGCAAGCTACACATACAAAATTATGCACAAGCATTTGGTGCGTGCAGTTGAGTGAAAATGGAGCATTCATAATCGAGGGGGCAATCACTCGCAGAAAAGTTGAGTGACACTGTCCATGAAAGCACACGCCAAAATAGCAAGGATCCTTAACTTATTTTAACATTTAAGGGGACGTTCTACTGAAATTCTTACTTTCTTCGAATTGAGTCCCAGTATCAATATTCATTGTAAATTTAAAGTATTTCATTGTAAATAGTAAAATTTGAAGTTTGAAGAGCAATAACTGGCCCCAAATCCAGTCGAAGATGAATTTTCTGCTTTTTCCAGTTGTAACTTGAAAAATTCTCCTATGCAAAGTATTTCAATGTAAACTGATGTTCTGGGCATTTTTCACTTATTTGGTTCATACTTGATAAACCGTGGCATTAGTAAGATACTGGGACCATAACAAAATCATAAGCTGTGTCTTTAAGACAGCATGTCAATAAAATTTCAAGAAAATGGTAAAAATCCTGATATTTTTGTGTCTTTTTTTCTGAAAAGCAACGCCAAAATTAATTTGTTGGGTCCCATGTCTTTGTGATGCCACGCTTAATTGCATATGAGCCAATGAAGTGAAAAATGACCACAACATCAGTTTACGTTGAGTAGGAGAATTTCTAACAATATTGCTAATATAGGCTGAAAAAACCTCTTCGACTTGATTTGGAGGGAGGTATTGGGCTCTAAATTTTATGTCTGACTATATACTATGCATTACTATGCATCTGCAACAAATGTTTACACTGGGGCTCAATTTGAAAAATGCAATATTTTCAGTAGAACCTCCCCTTAAAAGGGCATCAAATTTTAGCTTAGGCGTCCAATTCTAATTCACGCCCTTGAGGGATGAGAGTGTAGAGATCTCCACAACTGGTTGCACAGTGCACCCGCTCGTTGATAAGGCGCAAACTGCTAATCCAAGCGTGGGACAGGCATGCAAACTGTCCCACGTTTGTAAGCGTGGGACAAACTGTTCCACGTTTGTAAGCCTAGGACAAACTGTTCCACGTTTGTAAGCGGGGGGACAAAATGTTCCACGTTTGTAAGCGTGGAACAAACTGTTCCACGTTTGTAAGCTTAGGACAAACTGTTCCACGTTTGTAAGCGTGGGACAAAATGTTCCACGTTCGCAAGCGTGGGTCCCACACTGGGATTTGCAGTGCGGCTGGCACGGACTGGCGCGGTACCTCTTGAGCGCTGAGGACGCTGCGTGGCCGCGCGGCGAGCACGGCCGCCAGAGCATCGACTTGGCGCGCCACCTCTCGTCTGAGGCCGGACCCCGTCCGGGCCACGGAACGCAGACAACCGTTCAGCATGAAGAGGACCTTGGCGTAGGTGCAGAGCCCGCGCATCGTCCTGGCCGACGCGTCGGATGGACCGCCCTGCTGCGCCGCCTCCATGGCTTCGCACAGGGTCGTCATCAACCGATGTGTGCTGGGGGAATCTGAGGGCAAACGATTGGACTTTTAGTCATTCCGAGGCGCACTGCCGTCTCACACTTGTAGGTGTGGAACATTTTGTCTCACGCTTACAAGTGTGAGACACAGCTTGTGCCACACTTGCTGCATATGCTAGCCCTGTGGTTCAATGTCACGGTTCCCACGCCTGAAAGAGTAGGACAAACCACGAAAACTTACACAATTATCTAAACATATTACCCGAAATAATACCTATAATACTCTATAACACTTATAATATATAATACTTCGTACACGGTTCAGGACAGTCAGCCCCCCCTTGACCAAAGATGAAAATTATTATCCTTTTCTTTGGACAGAATTGGTAGGCAGTAAAACTAAGTCGAGCTTCCAAACTCCGCAAAACATTGCTGCGCTGACTTGTGATCCGGATTCGTACATGGTAGTCACACACATTCAGAACAGTGAAAGTGCGAAACTCAACCTGCAAATCGACGTTCTAAATTCTCTGCGTTCCAGTCGACTTACCTGCTGCTGTACAGGCATTCAGAAGTTTCGTGCGCTTGTCAGCGTCTGCAACAAGAAAAGTCATGTTTACTCACTTACTAGTCCCACAGGGTACATTGCACAAACAAGCAGCTTTAGATGGGAGAAACATCACTTTAACTGCATGTCCTCATGTGGTTTAAAAGCCTATATTAAAACCTAAACAAATTTCAGTCAGAAACTGCATTTACAACCAAAATAACAGGAAAAGGGGCGATACAAATCGGAGACTTTGCCTGCCTTGTACACAGTTAAAATAATTACGAAGACTCGTTTGTATTTGACACCGACCCGAGCTCCGTAATATTTTCACTTTTAATTTACGTCTCTTCAGCTTCTAGACACGGTACAGAAACGGCTCCTGGTTTTCCCATGAAGGCTATGGTACAGACATGGGCGATTTCCTGGGAGTTCCTGGGAAAACCAGGAACCGTTTTAACCGTGCGACTCCTGGTGGTAAAAGTTACCTACAAAGCGTGCATTGGAGTGAAACGATTTTTTAAGCGATCCTCGGGACACTTGTTTGCGTGTACGTACACTACAAGTGTTTTAAACTTTGAGAAAACTACGTACCTGATTTCCCAGCCAGTCTTTTGAGTTTGTCTATGACATCTTTGGGCTTTGTCGCGCAAGATGCCAAATCCTTGTAGATGACTGCAATGTGTTCTTGCCGATCTTTCACCAGGTTTCCATAGCGACTAGAGTTCGCAACTGGAACCTGGCACACTGGACAGGACTGCGAACGAAGAAAAGATTGATTTCAGTACAGAGAGGGAAACATTATGACATGTGGCGTGTACGCTTCACGTCTGTACACGCAAAAAACCTCACCAAGTACTTTGAGCATGCATGGTACAAACTTATTTACTTTGTTATACGAAGAATTACCCAGTTCGTATACGAAGTATTTTCTTTGCACGCTTATGTATGTTCATAATTACTTTGTTATGACAAGCTACGTTTCTTTGTAAGGCCTAAAATAGTTTGTAAGGTTTCCAGAGTGCATTCAGACTAAAAAATCTGACATTTTTCAGTGAGGGGACAGCGGGAAGTACTGATCTGATGGAGCAAGAAAAATGCAAGGGGGTACTCGAGTCATATTCCAGGGTCTTTGCGAGAGAGGATAAAGAGGGGAGGGGATGGTTTGGGTCTCTGCTGAAAAGACTAAGCCTAAATATCTGCGATTACTTTTACTTAACAACGTTTCATGAACTTTCGCAGAAGTTTCTCTAAGGAAAGTGATATTAAAATCACCTTGTCATTTCTAAATAATTGCACTCACCGGAAGTCTTACGACTGTAGGTCTCTCTCTGATGCTCCTCTCCATATCGTCAAACCGCACGATGTGTTTGCAGTCGGTCAACACGAGAAACCTGAAAAATTTCACGGTCACTGTCTACGATACCTCGCAGTTGACACATGGGGTTCCAAAGATGCTGTGTTGCAATGCTACATTGTCAGAAGTCTTACCGATCTTGTTCAGAAGACTTCTCAAATTCCTTGCTCTGCTTATCACATATTCGGCACATGCTGGGGCAAGGATCTCCTTCGAAACCTATGCAGTCGTGTTTGCATTTCCTTACAGGGAACCTACAGGGATTGTTGCTGGGGCTCCAGGTGCACAGGTCTCTACATTTCTTTTCACACTTGAAAGTGGGTTTTCCCATCTCACATTTTTTCTGCAACAAATAAAAGAAGAAATTATAAGGATTTGAGATGCAGATGCTGGCGATGTCCACACCTCTATGCACTGAGATTCCAAACGCTATGAGTACAGCACGTATGGTGCAATGCACTGAGATATCGCACCAAACGTGCAGTGCCAAAGCCATACTGCACCTTACGTGCAATGCTTCGCGAAATTTCCCTCAGCCAATGCATGGAAATGGGAAGGCATTGCACTTCATGTGCAGTGCGATGCAAAAGCATTGCACCAATTGACGCTATATTCATAGCGTTTGGATTTTCACTGTGTCGACGGTCAAATGTATTTTTGAGACCATTGTGTGCCTCGTTTATGTTTAAGAGACGAGCAAGGAATGTGCAACATGCGAAATGCCCCAAGTAAAGGGGGCAGTACTTCACGAGGTTAAACAATAGTGTTTCCAAGGATTGCTTGCGAACAGAGGCACGTCCAAACTGGTGATATGTCACGTTACTGGAACGAGATTACGAGATTTCCTTAAGTATGATGAATCCCTGAGATAAGTTTTGACGCCTCTTGCAACCTCCGTCCGGAAATAATTCACAAGTACACGTTTTATTAGGGACCGTGCGCAACGCATCCGAGGGTTCTTTTTATGCATATTTCTGGTCTTAATTCGGAAATCAGACCACTAGGTCTTACAAAATTGGTCTGAATTATAAGATTTTTTTTAACAGTGTGCGCGTGTACTACCCCTTTCATTTAAGGGTCTTAAGACCCACACTCTTACTGTCTTACAGTAGGAGTATGCTATGTTACAGTAGCAACTATGTTACAGTAAACTCAGCGCAAGCATGATACAAATCAATATTTCTTCATGAATATTTTATGTATTTTCATTGTAAGATACACAGAAAAAACCTTTGAAACGCACAAATCAAAACTACGTTCGTGTTATGCTTGCGCCATGTCCTTCGTATAATGGGAAATTTATTCGTCAGACATGAAAACCTGTTTTGCACACTGAAATCGAAAGTGCGGTGAATTTACCTCATTTGGCTGTGGTAAGACCTAAAATGCGGTTACACCCCTTCTAAAAAGTGGTGTACGAGCCTAAAATTTAGCTGTTACCTCATGTATTGCGTGGTCACGACCACCCTTTTGTGAGGTGTAGGGGACTGACCACATACACTGGTAAAACAAAGGCATAAAAATTACGCCCTTAAGGGCATAAATACTCTTTTACGCCCTTCCCGGGGCATAAATCGTTTTATGCCCTTGGGAAGGGCGTAAATGGTATAGGAATTTCAAGCAAAATTTTAATGCCCTTCCCAAAGGCATTAACGATTTATGCCCTTTAAGGGCAAAATCGTTTACGCCCTTAAAGGGCATAATTGTTATGCCTTTGTTTCACCAGTGTATTTGCTGTGGTATTCACCATGGTTTTTATGTAGTACTATGCTAACCACTGATCTTAAGGTGGGACCCTGGTGAAACTTTCAAGTAGGCTTCAAAATAATCCCAGGAAGTTGAAACTTTGCTTAATTATTAGGTTCATTATGGTGAGTTCCCAAAACAAAATTCAATCCAAAATGTTGAACGGTCTCTGAGGAAAGTGGCTTCACTCTCATTCCAGGAACGTGACATCACGTTGAAACGAACGTGACAAAGTGTCACGTTCGTTTGAGCATTGTGTCACGTTCGTTTGAATGTGAACAAGCTGATTTTTGGCCAATTCACACCCAAACGAAAGTGACACAATGCTCAAACGAACGTGACATTTTGTCACGTTCGTTTCAACGTGATGTAACGTTCCTGGAATGAGAGTGTTTGTAGTGTTTTTTTGGAGCGTTGGGAAAAAATCTTCCTGCGTCTTTTAATGGGACGGCAAATCTTGAAAATTTGTTTGGGTTATCCTAAAGATGTATAGAAGAGATTTTAGTGACGAAATTTTCAAATTCAACTTCTGCCCTGAGACATGAGTTTTCAAATTTTAATATTCAAAAAAAAAAAAAATTTCCCTTTTTTCAGACTTTTAAGTGTGTTTTTAAAAAAGGAGGGCTGATATCAAGATTCCGTCACTAAAATTTGTCGACAAGTCATCAATGAACAGAGTCCATGCAAGACGACTCATGTAGGTGTCAACCAGGAACGCAGGTAGTCTTCCTACGACAAAATTTTTTGTCGACTGAGCAAAGCTGTGAAGTTGAGCGTAGAAGCCAACGACAAATGATCTCAATGTTATTTCCTTCCAAATGATAAAGAAACTACCCACTCAGCTTAAAGGTGTTCAACCTGTTGAATCTGAAACCTTCTATGCACATTTTTATCTATGAACTTTGAAAATACTATTTATTGGAATTTTTCACCAGGGTCCCCCCTTAAGGGATATTGACCGCATTACCACGTGTGGTAAAGTCGGGTAACCACAGTTTTGCGCCTTCCACACATTAACTGTAGTCTGTACCACACTTCGAAGGACAGTGCAGCATATCCATCATACTCACCGAACAAGGAGAGCATCGCTGGCCGCAATGCTTTGAGCAATTCGAGTGACTGCACTTGACTGGGCAAGGTTGTTTACATGGAAGGCACGGTAGTCCACACCGTTCCTGGCAGCTAACAAACAAAATGCCATGAAAACAGGATTATAACCGCGTAACTTACAGGCCGTTTTAACGAAGGCTCTGTTCTGCTCACAGTAAAAAGTTAGCGCTGCCTTCTTCGTAATACGAAAAAAACCCAAGGCATTGTAAATTTCACGAAAGCAAAATCCTTTGTAATATAAAGCATTTCACCATAACACGAAGCAATTCTACAATGCCTTCATTTTCGTATTTTTATTGTAAGATGCAAAGAGATACCTTTCGTAACACGAGGGAAAACCACGTTCGTATTACGCTTGCGCCATTTCCTTATTACGCAAAAATTTTTCGCAAGACATTGAGTGCGTACAACAACTTACCTCTTTCGTTGCACGGTACTTTGACGGAATGGCCGCAGGGGGCCCGGCACGGGACCGGCCTGAGGCACTCGGTCTGGCAAGGCTCTGCACAGCGCGAACGGCACCGATGCTTACAGGGCAAGTACTTGTCACACCGCTCGGTGCAGACCACGTCCTCGACTCCCGTCCCACATGGCAGGTCCTTCCAATGGTCGCAGTGAGGCAGTTTCTTCGGTACCTGTCACAGCGAGAACAAGATGAAGCTCAATCTCCTCCTAGGAGAATGACAGCACCTCGAAACGAGTGTCAAAATAAAATGTCATTCTCTTTTGAGCATTATCACGCTCATTTGGATGAGCAGCCATAAATCAGCTTGAGCGTGACACAATGCTCGCAGGAGAATATGAAATTTTGTCACGCGCTCTCGAATGCTCAAACAAGAAGGTGCTCACTAGTACAACAACACGGTAAAAACGGTACCTGGTTTTCCCAGGAGCCCTATGGCGAAGACATAGGCGATTTCCAGGGGGTTCCTGGGAAAACCGGCACTGAAAAACCAAACGTGGTCTAGACCACACCAAATGGTGCGGTCAAATGGATGCCATTGTGACCGCATCAGTATGTGGTCTAGACCACGTTTGGCCAAACGTGGTCTAGACCACACCAACTGATGTGGTCAAAATGGCACCCATCTGACCACACCTGTGGTGCGGTCTAGACCACGTTTAGTTTTTCAGTGGGGAACCGTTTTTAACGTGAAAGGCATGAAAACAAAGCCCTTAAGGGCGCAAACAGTCTTTCATGCCCTTAAAGGGCGTGAATCTTTTGGTGTCCTTGGGAAGGGCGTGAATTGGTACAGGACTTTCAGGTATAATTTTAATGTCCTTTTAAAGGCATTAAACACTGAGAAAACCCTACAAACTATTTCAGGCCTTTTAAATCAAAGCAGTTTCTCTGCAAACTGAAGTGTGTACATAGTACACTCTTATTAGAGCATGCTTCCAAGTACGCTCTTATTTACAGCATACTTGCTAGGCACACGCTAAAATAGTGTGTGCCTCGCAAGTACACGCTAAATAAGTGTGTACCTTCCATGTACACGCTAAAACACACTCGATACGTCCTATCTAAAAGCATGGGCCAGTTTAAGTGTACTTGCCAGGTACACTCTTATTTAGCGTGTACATGCAATGTACACTCCATTTTAGTGTGTACCTAGCAAGTATGCTGTAAATAAGAGTGTACTTGGAAGCATGCTCTAATAAGAGTGTACTATGTACACACTTCAGTTTGCAGAGTTGTTAGAACAAAGTATTTTGAGCATACATAAGCTTACAAAGAAAATACTTCGTAATTTACGAACTATTTCTTCGTATAACAAAGTGAATTAAGGGAAGGTGGGGACCCATGTATCACTTTTTTTGTTTTGAGTGTCAAAATTTTGGTTTTGGGCATAAATCAAATGTTATGGGTCACAAGCATGAGTTAATCTTCCTTCTACAAGGGCCAACTGAATTTGTTCATGTATCTCATCTGGTTTTGGATAGGAGCGCAATCTACTAAATTCATTTATTTGATACATCGGACCCCATACCTGGGGTACCATGTATCACCCATGGGGACCCATGTATCACAGCTATTTTCTTCCAAAATAACTTTTAAGAAAGGACAAATTATGCGACGTTTCCTTGCAGCATTAATTTCTACAATATGTTTATAAGTTTGACCGAGTTTGACCATTCCTAACTCTGCAAACTCAACAGTGTACTCAGTACACTCTCTTTAGAGTGTACTCATGAGTACACTATCTTTAGCGTGTACTCATGAGTACACTCTCTTCAGCGTGTACTCACGAGTACACTCCCACGAACGTGTACTCAGCTGCATGAATTGTGCAGACTTAAGCACACTCTCGTTAGAGTGTTCTCAGCTAAGCACAAGTGCACTTTCGTTAGAGTGTACTCAGCTAAGCACACTCTCGTTAGAGTGTACTCAGCTGAGTACACTCTCACAGGAGTGTGCTTACGAGTACACTCCAAATAGAGTGTACTGAGCACTCTGTACAGTTTGCAGAGAAGGTAAGTTGAGGTCAAAGAGAGAAGGTGAAGATTCATGTATCACAAGTGGGGACCCATGTATCACTTTATTTTTGGTATTTGTTCAATGGCAAAATGTAACTAAACTGTAACACCTGTCGCCTGTCACTCTATTATAAAATTGCAATGATTACAGCACAGGCATTAAAACATGAAAATTTCCGTGATTAATTGCCCCCCAACATGAAATTTGAGTGATACATGGGACCCCAAAAAATGTGATACATCGGTCCCCACTTGTCGGAGCATTGGACATTGCGGTGTACTGCCAGAACCTATGCTCGGATGTTGCTGTTCGGCACTGCTAATTGTTGTTAAAGCCCTACCGCACACTCCCACGTCAAAAAATTGCGACAATGTTCCATAGCAGGAAGCTGATGAAAGATATTTGAAGAAATTTCTTTTTTACTTTCCCTCAGTTTTGGGGACCAAAATTTTTACTTAGTCACGCCGCCATGTTTGTTGAAGATGCAAGGTCACATCCTTCCATAAAATGAAGCTCTCTGGATGGTGTTTCGATTCCGCACCACGTGACTCACCTCGCGGGCGAAACTGAAATTAAATACGCCGTGATACATGGGTCCCCACCTTCCCTTAGTTTGTACGAATGTATGCTCAAAATACTTCGTAAGGTTTTAAGGGGGCACACCGTTCCCAAAGGGCCCTAAAAAATTTTTTTAGGGCAAGGGTTTTAAATTTTTTCAACCCTTTTCAAAAAAAAAGTAACCGGGGAAAGGGGGGGAGGGGAAGGGGGGGGCCCTTTTTTTTCCGGGGAGGCTTTTGCCCCCTTTTTGAAGCCCGAGATCAGGGTTTCAAAATTTTTCCAGGACCCATGGGCTTTTTAAAGCTGTGGCAACCTTGTTTTTTGGAACAAAAAACGAAATATTTTTTGCCAATTTTTCAGGTTTTTTTTGTGGTCAGGCCCTGTACATGCTCAAACCGAACAGATGGAAAATTTAAAAAAATTTTTCCCCAAAACCTCAAATTTCTCAATTTTTCCCCCAATTGGGGACCAGGGAAAAAGGGGTTGGAAAAAAACATGAACAATTGTAATATTTTCGACAAACTTAACTCATAAATTTAGGAATAAATTCGTAATTTTACGATGAAATCTTATTGTTACTGACGAAAGATCGTAGTTTTACTTATAAAATCGTTATCTTACGACTATTCTCGTTTTATAACGCGTAAACTTGTTTTCTTACAAATGAAGCTTTATTTTTAAGAATAGTTGCCTGTTAAATTTGATCCAGGAAGCGGAAGAAGGGGATAACTCAATTTTGGCCATTTTTCAGGAGAAACAAAAAACTGTTAGCAGGGAAAACTAAAACAAAACAAATGAATGTTGCACATGTTAATAATTGGCTGAGCGATAGCGAAGCCTGTTACTCCAGTGGGGTTGAAAAGTTTTTCATGTCTGTCTGTCTGTCTGTCTGTGTGCACTACTCCTCCTGAACGGCTTAGCCGATCTCGGTGAGATTTTGCACACTTCTTGGGTATGTCCTTGGCTCGGCACACGCGAAATTTCACCATCCTAGCTCTACTGGTTCAGTTCTTATAGCCGAAAAACACCTAAAAAACGGCGAAAAATAGAGCTTTCTGCAGAAAGATCACTTCCGGCTTGGAGAAAGGGGGGTCTGGGGGCCGGAGCCCCCCAGCCTCGACAAGTTAAAAAGTGACAAGGGTCAAGATCGTGTTATCTATAGATAAAACAACTCTTTTTAGAATGTAGGGGGGTCTGGGGGGCGGAGCCCCCCACCATTCAACAAGTTAAAAAATAACCGACAATGGACAAGCCATTGCCTGCCGCAGGCAGGCTAGCGCCGCGCCCAAGGTAGGTACGCCAGGCGTGGATTGGAGGAACAGGCAGCGAGACATCGCGAAGCCTGTTACGACAAGACGCGGTCTGGCGTAAACCTACCTATTGTTTCAAAAAGCATTAGTAAAATTTTGGAAAAAAAATCAAAAATGTAAGGTCACTCCGTAGAGGATTTCTGCGACTTATCACTTTCCGTTGAAATGGAAAACAGAGTCAGCTCACCTTATATTTCCTAAACAAAGAGGAATTTGGAGACAAGTCAAGTGGAACAATAGTCTGCATAAAGTGTATGTTACTCTGGTGTATTTTTTGGACTTAGCTCTTTTTTCCAAATTGAAATTTAAAATTTAAGGGGGTTAAGTTGAGTTGATTCTTTTTGTACTAAAAGCACAAGTTGAGTTATATCCTTTTGCCAATTTGTCAAACGGACTCATGTAGACTAAGGTTGAGTTATCTCCATTTTCCAATGAAATTTAGACTGTAAAAGGGGTTAAGTTGAGTTATACCCTTTTTCCAAGTGGATTTTCTCCTAAACTGCTTGGAATTCAGTCAAATAATTTGGTGTAATGATGTAAACCATTCTAAGGCACAATAATAAAATAAAAACTCAATTTGGGGATAAGTCAAGTTATTCCCTTCTTCCGCTTCCTGGATCATTTGTACCACGAACTGCACTGTTTTTTTACAAAGAAAATTGTAAATTGACAATCTGTTCATCATTTTACAAACTGCTTCTAAAATTTACAGGTGAAATCGTTAATTTACAAGTATGATTGTAAAAGCAAGTCTGAAAAAGTGCGTTTTCGTCCGTTGTTTCCTTACTATATAGGAAGAAAAAATGCCTGAAACGACCAAAATTTGAGGATAAAGTTTGTAAGTTTAAGAGTATATTTGTAAATTGACGAAAAAAAGGTGGATGATCAGATCGTTTTTTAAATTTACGAGCAGTTCGTGGTACAAATTTAACAGACAATTAATCGTAATTTCACAAAATAATCCCGAACAGTGTATGAACACACTCTTAAAAGCCTACGAAGCATTTGCCTTATAACTACAAAGAAAATGAAGGCTTTGTAGAATTGCTTCGTATTATGAAGAAATGCTTCGTATTGCGAACGATTTTGCTTCATAATACGAAGCATTTCTTCGTAGATTTTACAACGCCTTCATTTTCTTCGTATTACGAAGCGATTCTTCGTAAAGTTTTTACTGTGCACATTCTTCACAAGGTTCTGAGAGCGTGACCTACCTCCACCTCGCATGGCCCGCACTTCTGGCCACATGGTTGTTTGCAAGGATGCCCGCAGCTCAGGATGCTCGCACACTTGGCCTTGCAGCGGCTTTGGGCGTCTGCCACCGACTCGGCGCACGGCATCTTCATGTCGTGGTGGCAGGGCAAGCTCTTCGTCACGAGGACGTCGCAGTCGGTACACTTTTCCCTGCATTTCAGGGTGCAGGCGTGCTTCTGTTCGGCGCTGCAGCCCGGTCGCGTCCGAAGACAAGGTTGGCTGCACTTGTACTGTGTGACAAACGGGCACACCACTGCATTACGAGTCCGCATAGAACATGTCCAATTTAAAAACCATTGTGCACGGCAAACAAAGTTTCCGGTTTTCCCACACTGTGGCAAAAACACTGAGATTCCAAACGCTACGAGTATAGCACGTATGGTGCAATGCAGTTGACATATCGCACCATACGTGCAATGCCATAGCCATATTGCACCTTACGTGCAATGCATCCCGAAACCGCCCTATGCTAATGCATGGGAATGGGGAGGCATTGCACTTCATGTGCAATGCTTTTGCATTGCACACCAATTGACGCTATATTCATAGCGTTTGGATTCTCAGTGAAGGTACGGAAAATTCTGTTAATTTTTTTGCCAGGATTCTCCGTAGGCTCTTACAGCATTCTCCGTAGGCCCGTACAGTATTCTCCTTACGACCGCACAGTCTTCTCCGTAGGACCTGGAAGACTGTATAGTCTTACGGAGAACACTGTGAGATACTACGGAGAATACTGTGTGGTCCTACGGAAAATACTGTAAGAGCGTACGGAGAATATTGACAAGGGGGCTACGGAGGATTACCACAATCTGTTTACAGAATTTTCCGTAGCTTTTTGCCAAAGTGCAGATAGCCCATAGTATAGACATATAAGATTTCCAGGGAGTTTCTGGGAAAACCAGAAACAGCTTTTTCCGTGTTTCTGTGCATTGATGGTGTCTTGTTAACTCTTACTTCTTTTTTTAAAGTTTTCTGCCACTAGATTGATTAGAAATTTGTCGGTCTGACTGAGACTTTAAACACACATGGCCAGTCATAACAGGAGCTCTTTGATAAACGAATTATGTAAAGAAGTGATGTAAAATCGTCGGCAGATTTTGGGTCTGCTGCAAGAGGATTTCTTCCCGAGTGAAATGAGCGGTTGCACGTCTTTCCCGTACAAAAACACGCGAGTCGGTGCTTTGCACGTGAATTGAACTGCCAAACTCGAGTGTGGAGAATTTCACACTTGCTGGTGCAACGCTTCTACGCTTGAAGCACATGCTTTGCTGACTTTTTTGAGTATCCCGGCCCGGGTTATGGGTTTACTTACATCAGCGTGAAGCGGGTCATCAAAAATGTGGCAACTCCTTTCACAAAGATGACCGCAGGCTAACTTTGCTCTACAAGGAACCTTGCAGGGACCGTTGAGGTAGCATAAAACGACGTTTTCATGTCCGCAATGTTCCAAGACCCGCTTCTCCTTTCTCTGAAAGTAAGACGTTCGTGGTGAGTGAGTATGTCACTACCAATAACTTTTCAAACCACAGACGCTGCAAATGCAACTCAGTGATCGAGCACGTTCATAACTACACGAAACTCAAAGTCTGCTCTGTTATCATTCCAGAACTCGCTTATCAGACAGTTGCATTTGCAGGACACATTATTTACTTTATTGATAGCTCCATTACGCCAAGGGAGCACTCTCTTGACTACTCACTTTGCATCGGTACGTGCTGGGATCTTGTGAGCAAGGCATTTTGGCAGTGTGTCCGCATTGCAACGCGACAGTCTTGCCCATTTGGCAAGTATACCATTGCGGATCTTCCGCACATCTCATTTTTCCGAAGTGGCCGCACTTCAGCGGCACGTATTTCTTAGCTCTGCAAGGCTCGCAAGTCTCATGGCAAAGCCGCGAACAGAAGTACGGAGTATGATCCTGTTTGCAAACCATTTTGTTGCATAGTTCGACACACCTGCAAAGAAGAGGATGAACACAAGTAAAACTTTGTGCATTTTTTCAGCTTTGTTGGCTAAGCGATAAAAAAAGCTAGTTCACTAGTTTTCTAAGTGTAATAATGAACTAATTTTAAAAGTAATAACATTTCGATTGTATTTTAAGCGCCATGAAAAAGTTATTGAACTATAAGTGCGATGGGTATTGTATTGCATGAGCGTATTCGTCACTTTTCTAGCGTAGTTATTATCACTCTATCGCAGCAAAACTGTGATAATCTGGGCCAGACCGGCCGAAACCTAACAGACTTACTCCAACGCGATAATTTTTTCATTGCTGCCATGAATGCGATAATTTGAAGGAATCGCATAAGCCTTTTCATCGCTCCTTATTGCATGAAACCGCATTAGAAATATAAGAGGAACTCAAAAGTTAAACTAGTTCTGTCTGCACAGTGCCTGTCTCCACATTAGTCTGTCTAAAGTTAATTTAACATTAACTCGTTAAACATTGGGATAGTTCGTAACGTTAAAGCGTAAACGTTACGCGACCCCTGTAACTTTTAACGACGTTAAAGTTAAATTACGGCAAACGAAACGGACTAATTCTGCAAAATATTCGGTTAAAAATGACTTGTAAGAGACTTTGACATGCATTCGGGTCAACTAAACCTCCTATTTTCCGTAGTTTAAACAGTCTAAATTAACATGATTCATTTCTGAAATCGTCCCACTGAGGCATTTTTGATATAGTAAACAAACATAATTTTTCATCGTTTTAGTAAAAACACGGTTAACTTTAACGGCGTTAAACGTTACGCGTAACGTTAACGCGTTAAAATGTTTCTTGGTTAACGTGTAACTTAACGCGTTACGTTTTAGATTTAACGTAAACAACCCTGCTATACTACCACAATTGTCACTCTTCTGTCCCCAACAGGGAAGCCCCGATCAGGACCCAAAAATCACCACCTCCAGGAGTTCGGGAGATAAAACTGTTTCAAACTGCTGTTTTACTACAATTTTTCACGGGGGAATCTCATTTTGAAGCTGCCGAATTGCACTGATTGCGAACTGAATAGAAACGCATCGTCTACACGGTAAAAACGGTTCCTGGTTTTCCCAGGAACTCCCCGGAAATCACCTACCATAGGCTTCCTGACCAGGTACCGTTTTTACCCGAGGGGGTAAACACTTCAAGAAATCGTGTACAGACTACTCGGTATTACGCTGTATTACGGTGTATTACACGTGTATTACGCCCTTAAAATGCCAAAATTTGGCACATTTGACCCACAAATGATATTACGATCACGTGTATTACGCGTAATACACGGTTTTGGTGTACAGGGTATTACGCAAGTGGTTACCCCCTCGTTTTTACCATGTAGTTTCCAGCATATATGCAAACGATACATTTCTTGAAGATGATGTTAATACACATCCAACAACTCCGAATTTCACTACGGTTTAGTCCTACCTAATGTTTCTATAAATTTTCGAAATGATGTAAAATTATTGATTCGGGAAACAGGACCAGATTAAGGCTTTTCCAAATCAATACTGAAAAAGGGCCATTCACGCCAAGCCTACTCTCTAAGCACCTACTCAACTATTTTATCGTACACTATCGAAAACTACGTACACGTACGGCTATCACTATCAATGAAATGCGTTTCACTCAAAATATCAAGGCAAGGTCTGTTATCGAGATTCTGAAACCAATGCAACATCAAGAAGGCAGTCGTCAAATAGTACTTACACAATTCCTTGGTGATCTAGTCTGTCCCTGTGACAGCTGAAAGGACAACTGTGCCCACATCTCAAGGTGTACTCGCACCTCGTCTCACAGCCTCCCAAAGTCCAGCGCTTGAAGTCAGCGTCACTCCTCACTTTCAGGGACTGTCCGGGGTGCTTGATACACTGTAGCGTCAGAGCGGGGCCGACGGCCTCCTGCGACTGCAGGTTGCTCCGGACTTTGCGCCAAGTCTCACTCTTCGCAGTCAGCACCTTGAGATTACCGACTATGATCATTCCTGCAGAACATGCGTGCGAAGCGAACAGGCATTTAGCTTCTTGTCACCGCTAAGCCACCAAAGACAGAGCCAGACACAGCAAGCGTAGGCGGGTGGCGCACAGTGGGCCAGACGACCGGCGGAGGCGGCCAAAACTCTACATACGTTTTGAGCTCTAAAGTCGCCAAACGGGACTCGGACCGAAAGTGGGACCCCACGAATGGATTCCTCGTTCGGAGGGCAATCCATTGGTGGGGTCACACGTTTGGTTATTGAGTCCCATTCAGCGGCTCTGGAGCTCCAAAAGCGCCTTGAGTGTTAACCGCGGTCTTCTGGCTCACTGTGTGGCCCGGACGGTAGGCGCTCACTCTCTCCAAATATGGAAATGAAAATTGACCTACGTTATAATGAATTCAGCGCAATCATAATGTGAAGCAAAATATCTCCATCATACGAATTATCATTGCTTTATTTATTTACGCTGTAGGATACAAAGAAAAACTCTTGTTCTACAAAGGAAAGCTAAGTTTGTATTATGCGTGCGTGAATTCCTTCCAGTAATGGGAAATTCCCTGCTGGAAGTGAACCGTACTTTTAAGCCTTTGTTCAAGCGTTGTTGTGCGCTCCACCGTTCTCTCGTCCATTTAATTGCATATCAGAATTTGACTTCACGCGTGAAGTCTTCAAACGTAGTTATATGCTTGAATGAAGCGTAAGAGACATTTACAGTGCACTTCAGTGTGGCGGTACAAATATTACTAAAGTACTATAACATCACGTGATGTTAAGGTGGTAAAATCTGCAGATTTACATGCACCACCTATCTAATGGCTATGGCTGTAATGTCTGGAAACCGCCAATTACGTCTCCACCAAACAATGCGGACAAGGTGTTACAAAATATTTTACGACTGTTTTCAGTGCATTTTCTCTTCGACGCAACTGAGCAGAGCAATTTACTCTCACTCCAGGTGCGTGACATCACGTTGAAACGAGCTTGTATCACGCCCATTTGGGTGTGAATCACCCATAAATTAGCTTATTCTCATTCAAAAGTGCGCCGTGACACAATGCTCAAAGGAACGTGACATTTTGTCAGGCTTGTTTCAACGTGATACCACGCTCCTGGGTTGAGAGTGGTTGGTTGAGAATGAACAGAGTGTTTATTACGGACAGCGGCATCCAATTGCAATTGCCATGGCTAGCTGCTTAATGCGAAGTTGGGCAGATGGGTGTCTTACCATGCTTGGCTCTTGAGAGCGCTACGCACACTCTGTTTTCAGTCTTGAGGAACCCAATATTGTTTTGTGGGTTGCTCCTTACAAGTGACAGTAAAATTATGTCACTTTCTTCGCCCTGAAAGTTGTCGATGTTACAGACACGCACCTTGCGCAAATCTGGGAAGTCGGACTCAAGCTGAAAAAAAATCAGTAAAAATGCGTTTAAAATTTCTGCAATTACAATTTTTAATAATAAGTTGTCGATGCTGGTTAAGTCACCCTCTACCCGCCCTCTACAAAGAAACGAATGGGCAATGAGCCACCCAATTGGTTTTGAAATAAAGGGGGAATTAGACCGGCAAAAATTTTCCCAAGGTTCGAAATGCGAGGGGAAAGGTTCTTCCTTTGGTTTAAGACCTGGGAATTTTTTGGGGGTTTTTGGGGCCCCCAAGTGGTCCCCACGGCGGGGTAAGGGGGGCCATCCTTTGAAGGCCGAGTAAAGCGGCCTTCAAATTTTTTTGGGATACCCATGAAAAAAATTGTAAAATGGTAAATTAATAAAAATAATATTTTGATTTCGGTTAAAATTTCATTCTACGAAGGGGCAATGGCCATTCGACGGGCCCAAAATAAGGTACGGGCAAAATTTTTGAAACATTTCCCTTCGGGTGGGCATTTTGAGTGCCTAACCCCGGGTCAACGATTAAGGAGCCTTAATGAGTAGGGGTTTTTTACTTTGGGCCCCGTTTCGTGGTAAATGGTTCACTTTTGGTAATTCCAAGTTTTCAGTGAGAAGGAAAAACGAAACTTAAAAAAACCCAAGGGGCCCCTTTAGCCTTCAAATTTGTTCGAAAAAGCCATTGGATTATTTTTTTAATTTGGCACGTATGGTGCAATGCACCACTGCAAACGTGCAATGCCTCAGCCATATTGCACCTTACGTGCAATGCGTCCCGAAAATGCCCTACCCTTGCTAATGCATGGGCATGGGAAGGCATTGCAGTTCATGTGCGTGCAATGCTTTCCGTTTTCGGACGATTTTCGGACAAGCTCTTGCATGGGGAAACATTCCTCAGTTCCCGACAACGGCAACAAGTTGGTGGCGAATGGCAGTGCACTCACCCCCCTGAAGTACATGAGCTGACCAGCGTATGCCGAGAGAATTGTAATCTGCTTCTCGTCGTATCCCTGGAGAAGGAGGTAGGTTACGAGGGCCGCGATGAACCGTGCCTCGTGCGGATTGCAGTGACTTATCAGTTCATCCATCTGCGAGAGAGAGAAAATGGTGCATGCTTAGGACATGTACGACGGAATTCCAAGCACAACCGATGAAGCTCCTACACTCTCATTCTAGGAACGTGACATCACGTTGAAACGAACGTGACAAACTGTGAACACGTTGGTTTTTGGCCAATTCACACCCAAACGAATGTGACAGAATGCTCAAACGAACGTGACACTTTGTCACGTTCGTTTCAACGCGATGTCACGTTCCTGGAATGAGAGTGTATTTTGTTTCTGCCTGGCGACGTACGTATCGGTCGGGCTCTTGATGATCCACGAAGAACACACTGTTCTTCAGCCCACGGACGGCAGGATATCTGAGCACAGAGCCGTGGTTCTCAAGGCCGGGGTAAATGAACTCAATGAGTTTCGCGATATTGGGCTGCATCCTATGTTGGACATTGAGCGCCTTGCAGGGCATGTTGTTGTTTGACAGCCTTTCGAACAGGGATACCTCCAGCTTGAAGTCTTTCCCCACCTCATGGTCCGAGGGACTGGGTCTCAATTGTTTGTGGTCCCCTGAAGAGAAAAAAAAAATGAAATGAATAATAAGTATTAGAACATTTTAACGCTTGCGTAAGGGAATTAACACCAAGTGAGACTATTTATAACCGGACTACAAAAAAAGCAGAACACATAGTCATTCGAGTTCGAGATTCACATGTTTCGGACGTTTGTGATACTCATCAAACTTTGCAGCTTATTAGAAGGCTCACCACTTTCATACCAGGAGCGTGACATCACATTGCAACGAACGCGACAAAATGTCACGTCCCTTTGCGTATTGCGTCACATTCGTTTCAATTTGAATAAGCTTATTTACGGCTGATTTACGTCCAAACAAATGTGACACAATGCTAAAAAGAACGTGACTTTAAGTCACAACGTGAAGTAACGTTTTTGTAATGAGAGTTCAGTAAGACAAAAGGTAAAAGTAAGATTATAATGGTACACCCACCCAAAAGTATGAGATGCTGCACAGCTGGAGTCAATGCAGCGATGATGTGTGACTCCAAGACTTCTGCGGCTTCCTCAACGACAACTGAAAAGATCAGACCACGATCATACATTGACGATCATTAACATTTTTCTGACGAGTTTGTATTGTCGGACTGCACTCTTTCAGTGCGCGTCAAGTATAACTGCGATCATTTTGACGGACTCAGAGCGAAGTCAGTCCAACACTGACTGCAACTGCAGAACTGCATCACAACTTCAGTGCAAAGAGGCAGCATGTCGAGCCATTTTTATACCCGCACGTCATCAGTTTACCTTAAGCAGTTGAAGCTCTGAGAAAAACATCTTACTGGAAACGTGCTACAGTATCGCAGTCAAATAACTCGAACATAAAGTTAAACTGAAGAATAATTACTCCATGCACTTCAACAACGAAAATATTTTTTAAAAAAGTTATCTTGTATTTATGACGATTTTCCGTGTTACTATGCAATGCGTGCAATTTTGATAACGGATATGTGGAACTCACCTATTCTGGGCTTTAGCTCCTGGAGCAGCGGTTGAATTTGTGCCGCCTTGGTAGTGGTCATCCCGACGACCAAATTGCTGGCAATCAACTCTTTGTCCTTAAGCATTTTAACTTGCTTCATACGAGCTTTACAATCACTTATATACTTCGCTGCGCACCGCTCCGCAGTACCTAAAGCTTGTTTAAGTTGAGACACCCAAAATCTGTGGGGAAAAAATGTGCGAGCATTAATATGAGCGTCCGGTGAGCAATTACTAGCTGTAAGTTTTTGGCACGACTGGCCACTTTTGATGCGAGTTAAGGGCACTGCAAAGTGAAACTTCGAAGCAGTGGCGGCCAAATAAACGTGAAAACACATAACTCAGAAATCAAGAAGAGGTGGGTCCCCGCACGTAAAATGCGTTAATGCGACAGAGAAGAAATATTACCCATGAATCCACACACTAAATGCTTAAGTAGAATTTTGTACGCGCCACTTGCACGATTTTGTGCATGCGGGGAATTTGCGTAATATTTTGCATGCGAAAATGCACAAATATATGCAAATTCACGCACAATTTTATGCACGACGGCACACAAGTTTAAAAATTATGCATCACCACGTACAAAATTGTACATAAACATTTAGTGTGCACTCCTGATACAAATATTGAATAAAGTGCTTTTTTAAAAAGTGACACTTACATAAATAACTTTCAAATGTAATAGCTTAGTGTGAGAATGAAAGGGCGCAAATGCTTACAGATAGAGCTCGGAACGTTGATCTGCATCCAGGTCCAGTACATTTCCTGCTTGTGCTGCAAATCCTGGAGGGAGGCCATTGGAAACAACCTGCTTCAGATATTCCAGCTTCGCGATGTAATACTCAAGGGTACTTTTGTACTCCAGTCGCCCTTCACCAATGAATTGTTGCAGCTCCTCTATTGCGCTCTCCATTTGGCTGAACGTGTCTTCAAAGGAAAAGATTTCGCTTCCCCACTTGGGATTTTGCCTGATGAACTGAATGTCATCGTCACTCAGCGCAGAATGTTGAATCCCCTTCTCGAGCCACCTTACGATACTGAAGCCATCTGGCACATTGGAGACGTCAGTGACTACTTGGTAAGTCTGGAAGCTTTCCCAGCTCACAATGCCAATGTTGTTGTCCAGTTCCCGCCTGGCCCGTTGGATGCAGTCAAGTTCGTACTCGGCCTGTTGCAGTTGTTGTCTCCGTTCCCACATGCGTCGCTTCAGGTCCGGACTCAGCTCATTTTCATTCCTTTTCAGCATGTATTCAGTGAGCCGTTCGTCTTTGCACCGGCCTCCGAGGCGCACGATTTTCTTCGTGGTGGCGAGAAGGCCGAACAGAAACTGGTCCAGCGCGTGGTTGGTTAAGCAGACTATTAATATGGGGCACGCTGAATCATCACTGCCTCTCCATGCCTGAGGGTTCGTGAGCAGCGTGCTCACAATCCGTAGACCCAGGAAAGTCTTCCCCGTGCCGGGCGGGCCCTGCACTAGCATCACTTTTTGCGTGAGAGCACGGGTGAGAGCTTCGTGCTGAGACTCGTTCAAGCCCATTGCTGCTGCAGTGGGCCATTCACCGTTCACAATGTCTCGTTGAACAACCTCACCTCCAAGCAGAGGAATGCAGTACTTCCTATTGCTCTCTACTTGAAGGTAATCTGGCAGCTCTTCAGTCGGGTCTGCGTGAACTATGTACCGTGCCAGGGGAAATTCGTCTGGGTTGATGTTTTGGAGAGCATTGAGAACGTGCAGGTAAGGCTCGAAGAACACCATGCTCTCGCCCACCACAAAGGAGCCCAGGCACAGTTTCTTTGCGGATACCTCTGACCAGAGTGGCTCGATGACCAGCCAGCCGGCAGAGAGACATTCCCAGTCTCGTCTTGTTACCCGCGCCAGGTGCAGGGTTGTGAAGTTGTCGTTCGAGATGACGAGCAGGGCCCCTAGCATGAACCGTTTTGAAACGCGCCAATCTATGTTCAGTGATCTGTTCGGATCAAAGTACATTATGAGACTTCCAGGGAGCCAACGCTCCTTGTTTTTCTCAAAGGTCACATTCTTGTAAATTCTCATGGCATTGAATCTGTTTTCCTCACTCCTGTCGAAAACTTTGATGCGGCCTCTGACTTCTGCCAGACCGTCACGCAAAGGCTTCAGAAAATCCTCTCGCAGTAAGCGGAAATGCACATCTAAATAATGTTCTTCACTGACAAACGGGCCACTTACAACGTTAGGTCGCAAATAAACCTTCCTGGTTTGGAAATCTTCCTGGGTTGGCACGACAAACATGTCCCGAAAGCTCTCCTGAGGCACATCTGACACATAAGTTGTGTGAACGAACATTCCATGCAATTCAAGTATTTGCTTCTTCGCATGTTGAATGTGAATATCTTGACTAAATGTATCTGCAGCTTGAAGGGCTGAATCAACAATGCCCTCAAAATGTTCGTAGAATATGTTCGGGCAAGCTTTTAAAACAGCAGCACAAAAGCTAGAGATGTGGCGGAATGTCGTGGATGCAATTCCAGCTTCTTCTTGAATCACTAGGAAATCCCGTAGATTATCCACAAGTGGCGTCTTGCACACGTCGGATACAAAGCTGTCCAGTTTTATATTGGTGCCACGCAGCCTCGGGATCAGCTCCATAGTGTCCTTTAAGTAAGACGGCAAGTCAACAGGACTCCAATTTCTACCAAGCCTGGTGAGTAACTCCTTGTGAGCCCCAGCAACCTTTGACCACCCCGGGGCAGACGCAGTGGCATGAGATTGCTTGTTTGCCCTCGGCGTCCGCGCTAAAGGAGGGGCGCAGAGTTCCATTTGGAAATCGTAAGATTGTTGGCGGTTAGAAACAACACCTTTCTTACGTCCCACTGTCTGCCATGCAGTCACGTCCGTGTTCCCATGACGCACGTGTGTGGCAGCAATATTGTTGTTGCTATCAGCAAAGCCCCTGGTCTTAATAGACGTCGGTTCAAACTTCTTGCACCTTGCAGAGGAAACTTTGAAATCTTCAGGACATTCCCTCGCTTTGTTTATGGTTGGGGTCTTGCTATCCTCATCCAGTAGCCGTTTGCGCAGTGAGAATTCTTCGTCAATCTTCTGAAGCTTTCCAAGTACTGATTCCGCCTCCTTTCCTTTGTCTACCAAATACTTAAAGGCCTCGCCAATCGCTGTCAGAACCCAACGACGTCCATGAATCCACATAGCTGCTTCTGGAGACCCGCGCTCAAGAAATGAAGAAAAAATCCGGCAAAGAGCTGAGAAGTATGAGACACCCTGGCAGCTTGCTGGTAGGTCTTTCCAATGAACGTGCAGCAGGACACGGAGGATAACAAACTCAACATCGGGGAATTGATCACACTCAGAAAGAACCGCCATGGCCTCGACAACGGACGCCGTTTCGCTGTGGAATCTCCCCACCTGCATCAGATTCTGGGATGTTTTCCAATACGAGCAGAGGAACTGGATTATCTCCCTTGAACTGCTTTGCGCCAGGTTTCGAATCCTTCCAGACCATTGGTTCAAAAGCAAGACATTTTGGTGCCTCAGAATAGAGGTGGACTTAGGAATTGATGGCGGTTGCATTTTAGTCCACCTTCGTTTCACCACACTGGACTGAGGCTTGGGAGGCAGATTGGGTTTAGAAGGCCCAGCGACGGTAGAGACGGAACCACCTGACTGCTTCCGGGCACTGTTGCGCCGCTCCTTCCGTTTGTTGGTGACGCGAGTCCAGTCACTGTTGGCGTCGATGACGCGTCCCCCGTCCATGGCGCGGCGCATCATGACCTGAAAATAAAACGTCACTTTGTAATTGTTTATGTGCATACTTCCACTCTAAATTAGCACGTAATTTTGTGTGCATAGCTTTTGCACAAAATTGAGCATGCACGGTAAAAACGCTTCCTGGGAATCCCAGGTTTCGTTTTTACCGTGTGCGCGTGAAAAGCATGAATTATGCGTAACACCGCACGCTTTCGTGCTTAGTTACGTACAAAGTCGTACATTTAGGCACCAGGTGGCCCAGAAACCCCGTAAAAAAGGATTGCAGGCTACATGGCCGCACCCGTGCATGCGGGCTTGCCTACGCTCCGGTCTGCGGGCGCCGGGACGCTCTGGGGTGGCCACTCGTCCATGACGCACTGTCCACCGCGGCACTGTCCTTCGCGCCACGGCGCTGTCCGCGGCGGACAGCCCCGCGACCGACGGCGCCGCGAAGGAAGCACCGCGGTGGACAGTGCACCATGGACAGGAGGCGGTAACACTACAAAGCAGGAGTGAGGCGAAGCTCTCGCTTCGTGCAGGGGTTACGGACTTTTTCGAGATTATTAAAACTAGGCCATTGTTTTCAAAACGCTTTGCACAGATCGGAAGAGCATCAAATTTAGGGTGCATTGACCTTCCCACGACTCCCAATTTTACTTGGTCCAAAAGAGGAAATCGCGGAAATGTTTACACAAAGATGGCGCCCCCGAGGTTTTTAGCAGATGATACGTTCACGTATCAGCGTGCTTGTACTCTCGTGCAGAGAGTACCGAGTTTCCGGCTAGCCAGGCAGGAGTTGCCTCGTTGCCTGACTAGCAAGCCTAGAAGAGGCCGAGCGCCTCGCTGGCAAGGCACCGGCTGGCTCGCCTGCCTAGAAGATTATGAGCGGAGGGCCCGCAGTCTGCCGCGCCGCGCCGCGCCGTCGCCCGCCGCACCATGAATCGGGGCGCCTGCGGGGGCCTCGGGTTGCGCGCGCGGCGTATAACCTCGACACCCAGCTCTCTAGTACTCAAGAAGTGCGTCCCTCGCGTTGCGCGTCGTCACGAGACGCTGCTAGCACGCATCGCGTAGCTGCCCCCCTCGCCCATTCCCTAGCCGAGACGCCACGTCCCGCCGCGCCCCGCCACACCCCGCAGCAGTCTACACACACACGGACTTGAGCCTTGAGTGCGTAGAACGCGTAGTTCAGCGCCCCCCGAACCCCTGCCCCTCTCGAGAAGCGGCGCGTCGGCAGTGTGCGCCACTCTTGCTTATCTATCTTGAGGTCGGGTTCGGGTGGCGCGCCGGCCGGCCGGCCCCGCTTGGAGATGTGGCTGACACGCCGCGTGCCGCAAGGCGCCTTGCCCTAGTACCGAACACAACTTTTACGGGTATTGAGTATTTATGTGATTAGCCACCAAATTGTGCATCCTCGCGTTGAAACAACGAAAATGATACCCAACACAAGTGGTATCGGACATATGAGTGCCCCACCGTCATTGCGAACATGTTTAACACAAAACAATGGCACGTTAGGATATTCAAAAGTTATACTAAAATTGACATTTCCATGAATTACCATGTGTAACAAATTTGTCAAAAAAAGAGTTCCGAGTGTTTACTCTTTGAAATAAATTGACAAAATGTCACATTCATACATTGAAATAAACATTCTCATAAGTATCATCTGCTTTCACGTTAGCGTTAGCGTTAACGTTTTTTCCTTAATTATTAGACTTATTGTATTTTTCGGTGCTTTCACTTTGATTTTTTGAGGGCTGAAGTAGCAGTTAAGGGATTGCCAATGAGTCCAATGCACCCTTTATGTGATGCTCTTTCAATATGTGCAAAACGATTTGCAAACAATGGCCTAGTTTGAATAATCTCGAAGAAGCCCGTGACCCCTGCACGGAGCAAGATCGGAGCGAGCGCTTCACACCCTTAAAACCTTACGAAGTATTTTGAGCATACATATAACAAACTAAAACACTTTGTTATACGAAGAAATAGTTCGTAAATTACGAAGTATTTTCTTTGTAAGCTTACGAATGCTCAAAATGCTTTGTTATACGAACTACTTTTCTTTGTAAGACCCAAAATAGTTCGTAAGGTTTTCTCAGTGCACCTCACTGCCGCTTTAGGGTGTTACCGCCCCCTGGCCATGGACGAGTGGCCACCCCAGAGCGTGTAGCCTGCAATCGTCGCGGGGTTTCTGGGCCACCTGGTACATGCATAATTTGGTGCAAAGAAAAAAACTACATAGTAGTTAAGAGTGTAGAAAAACACGACGGAGTCCTCCAATTACTGGACTTTGAATGCACGATCAAATATTTTGTTGGTGCTAGACTACACTCTCAGCCTTTTACTGACTTTTTCTCATTAGCTTACGCATTTCTGTAAGCAACCATAATTCTTAGTATTTTTCGTCAGTATTACTTAGCAATAGCTAATTACTGTACTGATATCACCGTTTTCTTAGTAAATTACAAAGAAATTTGTAAGTATTTAAGAACTTAATACTAAGTATTATGGTTGCTTACAGAAATACGTCTGCTAATGAGAAATAGTCAGTAAACGGCTGAGAGTGTACTTCGAGATTTTTTAACGTCTCGGTATTTGAAATTGAAACGGCCATTCGGTCTCTGAATCTTTAAAGTGAACGCTCCCCGAGGTTTCCGTGCAGCACACACAGAAAAAAATCTACGAAAAATAGCTTTGTTGGCTGAGCGATAGCGAAGCCCGTTACTCCAGTGCGGTTGAAAAGTTTTGTCTGTCTGTCGGTCTGTGTGTCCGTGTGTATGTGTGTGTGTACACTACTCCTCCTGAACGGCTCGGCCGATCTGGCTGAGATTTTGCAGGCTTATTAGGTATGTTCTTGGCTCGGCACACGCGAAATTTCACTGTCCTAGCTCAACCGGTTCAGTTTTTATAGCCGAAAAACACCTAAAAAACGGCGAAAAATCGAGTTTCTTTTGCAGGTAGATCACCTCTGTCTTGAAGAAAGGGGGTCAGGGGGGCGGAGCCCCCCAGCCTCGACAAGTTAAAAAGTTACAAGGGTCAAGATCGTGTTATCTGTAGATTAAGCAACTCTTTCTAGAATTAAGGGGGGTCTGGGGGGCGGAGCCCCACAGCATGCAACACGTAAGAAGTAACCGACGATGGACAAGCCAATGCCTGCCGAAGGCAGGCTAGCGCCGCAGGCCAAGGTAGGTTAGACCGGCTCAAATTTCCCGAAGGTTCGAAATGTCGATGCGCGGAAACGGAATTCGGTTCCTTTCCGGATTCTAAGACTCTGGGATTTTTTTGGGATATTTGAGGTCACCGGAAGTGGTCCCGCACGGCAGGGTAAGTTAGGCGCACTGCTCATTGATAGACCAGCAGTAAAGCGGCCTTCATATTCGTTTTTCGGGCATATTCCATGAAACAAAAGTTGTCAGAAATGATCAAATTAATAAAAATATGTGATGTCTGATTTCGAAAACTCAAAATTTGCAATCTGGGTGCCTACCTGTAAGGGGCAACTGGCGTCTATTTTCGCTCTGAGCCCCAAAGTGAAGTGTATCAGGACGGAAAACTGTTTGAAAATGGATTTGGCCCTTCTGGTGGTGCTATTTTGAATGCCTAATCTCCGCCCGGTCTAGCGGATTAATTGAAGGCCTTTAATGAGTATTGTCTTGTTTGCGTTTGGGCGCGCGGATTGTGGTGAAGACTGGTTTCTTTTCGTTTTACTCGGTGATTTGCGAAGATTCAATCCCTGACACAGTAAAAGTGCGGAAACTAGAACCACGGCAAAGCCTCGCGGCGAAGGGCTGGAGCGCGGTGATCCGGGGCACTGCGAGGAAACTCTACATGAAAGCGGAGGCAAGACTTAGTTATTAAGTGTTGGTTGGGAAAATAACGTAAGTGCCGTTTCATATTAAAGCTAGTATAAATCTATTGGTGCAATTCATCAATGAACACTTCTAACCCTGAAAGTGAGGTGCGAAAGTGAAGTGTATCAGGACGGAAAACTGTTTGAAAATGGATTTGGCCCTTCTGGTGGTGCTATTTTGAGTGCCTAATCTCCGCCTGGTCTAACGGATTAATTGGAGGCAATGAACATTGTCTTGTTTGCGTTTGGGCGTCCGGTTTGTGGCTAAGTTCGTTTTCTTTCAGTTTTTCGGTAATTTCCGAAGATTCAATCGTGGAGATTAGAAGCGCGAGAATGTAAAAGAGAACACCGGATGGACAGGCCTTTAGCCTTTCTAGTCTGAAATGTAATTCTGAACAAGAATACTTTCATTGTGATTTACTTCTCCCTACCTCCAACCGATCCTTACTGAAATGTTGTGCCTGCGATGAAAGTTAGCGATTTGATTTCTTTGCTTCACCAACGCACATTCGCATGGACCCGGTCGAAACTCATTTCGCAAGTGCTTACTTCAGTCTTAGAGATTCATCCTACTCGGAACCGTTTGTGACCAATACATTGATCGTCACGAGCGTGCACTCATTTGAGTATACTCCCAGGTCACAACTGAGAACATTCTATCATAAGTGTGTTGAATTCAGTACTACGCGCCCGTGGGAGTGCGTTCGTGGGTGCACGCCAAAGAGTGCGTATTAAGTAGACCGTTTATTTTGCTAAGCAGATTCAGAATAGGACGAGCTTTTCGTCATGCGTACACTTCTCATCAAAAACGTCGTATAAACTCGCTTGCCGCGTTACTCTACGTATACGGCGGTCGCAAATTTAAATTTGGCTGACTGTTTCTGAGCTCGCACCTCACTTTCAGGGTTAGAAGTGTTCATTGATGAATTGCACCAATAGATTTATACTAGCTTTAATATGAAACGGCACTTACGTTATTTTCCCAACCAACACTTAATAACTAACAGTCTTGCCTCCGCTTTCATGTAGAGTTTCCTCGCAGTGCCCCGGATCACCGCGCTCCAGCCCTTCGCCGTGAGGCTTTGCCGTGGTTCTACACTGTTAAAAGAAACTGTAGGAAAACAGCACATTTACCAACGAGTGATTTGCTTTTAAGCAGCACGTGTCATCGGAA